CTTGGAAGCTTGGTATTCAGACAAGGCAGCCTTCAACAGGCACATAGAGATAAACAACATCTACACACTATTTAAAAGAGACAATAGAAAGGAAAACAAAAGATCAGAACATCTCCTGCCAGCAGTCCACACCCAGATAAGCAGGGATTGACACCAGGATTAACACAGACAAACAATCAAGCAGTAAGCAATACCTTAATCAAGGAACTACCAACTCAGACAAACAATCAAGCAGTAAGCAATACCTTAATCAAGGAACTACCAACTCAGACAAACAATCAAGCAGTAAACAACAGCCTAATCTAGGAACTATCAAGGGGAACACACACACACCCCGCATCAACACTGACAGAGCAAGCTACTGTATATAAACTGAGAGTAAACCCCACTCCCTTCTAGCACTGAAGATGTTATCTAGTTGGGTAATGAAACATCTACAGGAAAACAGCCAAGCTCAGAGAACCCCAAGGACTCCATAAAACTTGATTGATTGATTGATTGATTGATTGATTGATTGATTGATTGATTGATTGATTGATTGATTGATTGATTGATTGATTGATTGATTGATTGATTGATTGATTGATTGATTGATTGATTGATTGATTGATGACGTGCCATCAAGTCATCTTCGACTCCTAGCGACCACATAGATTTTCTCCATGACAAATCTATCCCTAACTTGGTCTTTCAGGTCTTCCAATGATCCGCTCATGGCCACTGTAAATGAGTCCGTCCCCTTTGCTGCTGGTCGTCCTCTTCTTCTCTTTCCTTCCACCTTTCTTTTAAAAGTTATGCTCAGATAAAAACCTACAGCAGTCAGATGTCACCAACACCATTCAAACATCATGTTCTTGTTCTGTTAATTTAAACAAAAAATGACATCCCCAAGTCGTGTTCACTTCTGTACTGCGTAGTGACTAATGTTTTGCATCAGAAGATAAGCCTTCCCCAATCGGGGCCTTCCAGATGTGCTGAGCTGTCAGCTTCCAGGATTCCCAACCAGTATGGCCTACCCTTAACTACTGTTCCCCCAAATGGCTGCTCTATGTCCTCACAACCACAAAGGTATACTTTTAAGAAATATCTGGTTTCATTTCCTGTCCTGGTGAAGCACTATAAATCAGTGTTTCTCAACCTTGGCCACTTGAAGATGTGTGGCCTTCACCCCTCAGAATTCCCCCAGGCTGGCTGGGGAATTCTGGGAGTTGAAGTCCACACATCTTCAAATGGCCAAGTTGAGAAACACTGCTATAAATGATACTTCTCAAGCCTGGAGAAAGTGAATTGTCCACCAGCAAAGAAGGCTCAGATCATCAGGTGAACGCGTGCCCCAAAATAACAGTTAAGAGGTCCACATGGGCCTTTTTACTGCTTCAGAGCTCAATTTCACAATTAAAAGCATCTGCCTGGCTGATGCAATCTGGCAGGGGTGGCGTGCTTCAGGTTCCTTCAATTAATGCCATCTATCGGGACCCCAGAAGGGCACCTTCTCTGTAGCAGCGCCCGCCCTCTGGAATGAGGTTCCCCATGAGATCCAGATGGCCCCCATCCTCCTACTGTTTAGAAGAGCCATGAAGACCTGGTTCTTCACCCAGGCCTCAACAAGAAAGAGTGGGACCTTGCTTTGTTTCCAACCAGTCCATCATTCTTGCCATCTTTAATCTTTTTTTCCTTCCTTTTATTGGTTTCATTGTAATGCTTTGATAGTTGTGAGTCGTGCAGAGTCGTTAGCACTCTGGCATCATATAGGTTTAATGAATTATTATTAATATTATTAAAATCAACAGAGAAGAGGGACCTCATCTGCAAAAGAGGTGCCAGCTCACCCACATAGACTTTGTGCTTTCTGAGAGATCAAGGAGAGCCCTTCTTCAAAAGTAGATACTACTCTGAAAAAACAACAACAGAATATTGCAGAGCATGCTAATAATTAAATCACACAGCATCTGATTGTATAAAATGAATCTGGTGCAGTATATTTTATAAATCAGAGATGAGCGATCAGATCAACAGGCTATTTCTGTGAGATGCATTAAGACAGTGTTTCTCAACCTTGGCAACTTTAAGACGTGTGGACTTCAACTCCCAGAATTCCCCAC